CCCCGCTCTAATCTCCCAAGGAAAGACCAATGCTGCCACAGGGTTGCGCTTTCACAACAAACAGATATTTTGTTAATTTCAAAAGGTAGCAAGCATCAAGATGGGCATGGTCAAAACAACAAACAAAACACTCTAGAAATGAAACAGAACTGACCTACCTATAACGAGAAACCCAAAAGAAAATACTGGCCTCTTACCTGTCTCCCTAACCTAAACAGGAGAAAAAGGTTTTGTCAGGTAACAAATTTGGAAGCTTTTGAATCCAATTAAAATCAAATCACTCACGCTGATTCTCTGGAAAAGAGCAGAACAGACTTAGAACAGAGTTTATTAAACATTGTCATATGAACGGCAGAACAGTGCATTTACAGCAAAAATAACACATAGCAATCAACACAAACAAAAGCAAAGCAACCCCGGGGTGTAGAGCCTTAAAGCACAAACAGAAACACATCCAAAAGACAGACAGGAAAGAAGCAGCAGACAAAAGCTACCCAATGCATATTTCACTCATGTTATTTAGAGACAGTGATCCCCCCTCCCATCGTTTGGTATTCTTTCTTCCTTTTTCATTTCTCTTCATCTTCTTTTTGACACTCTTCCACATCCTGATGTGAACAACCTGATCCAAGCAAACTCAGTATAAACCCACCAAGATAAAGTGGTGGGTTTACATTATCTGCAACACATTATGCAGATAATATTTTGTAGTTTTTCTCTGTCAATGTTTGCAAATTTCTAAAAGCAGAATCATCATAACACTCATTATGCAGTTCTGACAAACAGTTAGGGCATTTTTTATGACACAGACCTGTGCACAGGACACCCCAACAATTAAAAAAAACAACAACAACCTTTTCACATTCGCCAAAACATGAATAGTAAGTCAGTCACTTCAATTCTGGGATGAATGAATGTAAATTTTTCACCACCCTATAAAGACAGAGTGATTGAAATATGACTAATATCTAATAATATAATATCTAATATCTAGCAACTCAAAGCTAGCAACTTGTGCTTTTTTTTGGTCCAGACTCACACAATTAGTTTTTAAACATTGTTCTGTTATTTTTATTGATTGTATTTTTATTTTCATTTAAATTTTCACTTTAAACAAAGAAAGCACCAGAATACACACACATTATTCACACACAAAGCCTCACATCATCAGCTTTTATTATTATTGTACTGTAGCATATGTCTGATCAAAAACTGTGAAGGTTCTCAGTCATCCAGGTGCAAAACATGCTAATTGTGAATATGATTTCAAGCCACAGTAAGGCAAAATTGAAAAAAATGAGACTACACAAATTCATTTGGCATTACAGTTCAGTAATTTCACTAACTCGTGCTTAACTAAAATTCAGTCAAAATAAAACAAGACTGCATCAAACTCAGAGTTATGATCTCATTTGTTATGACAGATGAATATAAACCAGATATACTGATTAAGTACTTTATTTTTTGAAGAGTAAATTCAAAGATGTGAAATCACTGAGATTAAAACAATAATGCTCACATAAAGACAATGTTCACTGTATGAAATTATCAATAATTTATATCACTTAATTTAGTTTCTATAAATAAAAGCTGTTTTGCTGAACCTCTTCCTCTTTTACTTCTGCTCCTCTGTGTCTTTATAAGCTTCAGTATCTCTTCTCTTCTCACTACAGCACCTCTCATCTTTCAGCTTTCAGGTGTTATTTTTGTGCCACTATTCTGAGCGCACGTAAATAAAAACGCACCACCTTCAGATAATGTGTTTTTAAATACTGGATTGCTAGTTTTTTCTTCTTAAGTTAAAAGTATCAAAAGGAAAACAATGAAACACATTCACACATTATCAGATAAATCAAAATTCAATTTCTCTCAATCAATTTGGTGCAATTCTCACAGCAGAAAGGTCATTCTGACCAGTCTACATGCTTTGCTCAAAACAGTTAGGGCATTTTTCATAACTCACACTCAACTGTGCAAAAGACAACGTAACTATTTTATATTTGTCAAAACATGAATAGTCTGTCAGTCACCTCATCTCTGTGATAAATGATCATTTCCCCAGCCTGAAGACCAATTCATTAAAATGTTTAGTTTTTTGTTTAGTTTTGAGATAGAATAGAATAGAATAAACCTTTATTATCCCACAAATGAGAAATGAG